GGAATTATGTATTGGAACATAATTGCTGAATTCTTATACTTAATTCGGTCAATTATTTGGAATCATATATTGGATTATAATTGCGGAATTCTTATATTAAATTTGACCAATTATTTGGAATTATGTATTGGATTTTAATTGCTGAATTCTCACATTAAAATTCTGTCAATTATCTGGGTTTGGTTTTGCATTGTAAATTACTTGCTTATCATTTGAATGTTGTAATTTACATAGATATGGAGGATGGTATGCACCGGTATGGGACGGTGGCACACTAGGTATGGTTTAGCTCAAAATGCTAATTCCTACCTTATGGATTTTAATTGGTGAACAGTATGACTGGTTCTATCAATTATATGGACTTTGTGGATTGTATGCACCGGTATGGGACGGTGGCATACTAGGGACAGACTGATTTAAAATACTCAGTCCTACCTATTTTGGAATAAGGGAACGGGTTGTTAAATAAATCCTCCTTATATATATAGAAGTCGGTACGGTTGAATACGCCGAATGACTTATTGGATTTCTTGTGAATGGTTAGGAACGGAGTTTAGATATATATGTTTATGGTACCACGAGTTGAGCTTGAGTCTCAAACTTGTTGGTTAGGGTGCGTATATGCAGTGGACGTGTAGCTGGATATAGTAGGTTGGGTGTACCCTGTTAGGTCTAGGTACTCATGCCCACCTTTGGGTGCGTATTCATATGTTGCCTTCTATTCAGGTTGAGATCCCTACTGTAGTTCAGTGAATGTCCCATAGTGTGGATATATATATGTATGGACTAGATAGATATTGTGAGGTATCTATGGTGTATCTGCGTATCGGGTCACTGTATGGATTGCAGTTAGATTAGAACTTGCTTGTGGGCCTGACCCACCCTTTTATTATTTTTTTTCAGGTGTTCGTCAGTTCTGGGCTGTAGAGCTTGATCGTGCCGAGCAGATACAGTTATTCACTCTACTGATGGCGTAGGATTTTATTTCATGTTAAGACTTGGGTTTTGTTCCAGTCTTTTGAGTACCATTGGATATTTTAGGGGTCCACTAGATGGATTCCCGAGTTGTATAAATTGGAGAACGTTTTCCATTCGTGGTGGATCAGTTGTATCAAAATAGTTTTAATTGTCAATGAAATTATTTATTCTGAGGTTTTTAATTATTAGATTATCATTCTAGGTTCTTTTCAGCAAAATTTTATTCATTCTTGTTTTCTATATTGTATTCTGTGTTCATTAATTGCTAATTGTTTTGATATCCTCGGGTAATCGGGCGTGGGCCTGGCCAACCCGCATCCGGAAATCCGGGGGTATCACAGCCATAGAGTTGGATAGAGAAGAAACTTGCTGATAGGAGAAAGAGATGAGAGGCAAATGATGTCCCACCGGGCGTGCCAGAAATTTGTACATACAAATTTTGTAAGTCTGCAATAGAAACAAAATATGGGGCAAATAATATAATTTTATTAATTTGTAAACAATTGAGGTACAATCGTCTGTAATATTCTTTACAAAAAGAAAGAACTGATCCTCTGATTAAATCTCATTTTTCTGTTGGTTAGTTGGATCTAAGGGTTGCACAGGCTTGATCTTGAATCACCGTGGAATTTGATGAAGAACGGCATGTCTTTGGCTGTGCTTGTTGTTGATCATCGTGGAATTTGATAAAGAACGGCATGATTTGATGTGCTTGGTGTTCTTCACTTTTGGGTTTGGATGTTGGAGATGAGAGTTTCTGTATTTCTCTCTGGAATTCTAGATTTCTGAATTCTAACTTTGTGTCACCTCTCCTTTCCTCAGGCCTCTATTTATAAGCTTCTTGGATCTATAGGATGATGACACATGCCCTCTCTTATACGGAAAATATCATAACTGGGCTGAGCCGGATATATTATGATAATTATCCTTAAAAATAATTATTCCAAATATATTTTATTAGGAATAATTATTCTTTTTATTTAACCATCTGGACTGGGCTTAATTAAATAATTTAAGTGGACCAAACTTGGGCTAATTAAATAACTTAATTAAACATTAGGCCCATATTTAATAGGTCCATTTATCCATATCAAAGTCCACTAAAATTTTAGTGTCTACACATGCAAATCACAGCAGCAAAGTGCCATGACATTTCATTATACGCCAGCCAACTGCTTCGTACCGCAACTGACCCTGGTTACAAGCAAGACCTGGAGGACTGTATAGATAGTTATGACCATGTTGAGTTTGGCATAACCCAAGGCAGTCTGCCAAATTTTGATCAGGGGAGATATGGAGACACGGGGAAAGACACTGCAGATGCTTCTATTGCTTTTGAAACCTGCGACGAACACGGCATAAAAGCCTTGGACCAGATGAATACTCTTATCGCTGACTTCTCTATTGATGTAATGATGATTGTAGAGAGCTTGTCCAAGTCATGATCATCAAATCATATAATATTATTAGTATTATGCTAAATTAATTAATAAACATGCTTTATTTACTTTATTGACCAAACTAATGCACGTGTTTGCTTTTACTCCTAAAATTTGGTCATTTTGTCAAGGAAAATGATATAGAAAACTGTTTTTGCTCGACTATACAATATACTTGATGTGACAAAGACTCTATCCATTAAAGTAACTATAAAAATGGCAGTACTCATTTTTTAATAACACCTTCATGTTATGTGTATGTTCATTCTGGTGTATGTGGTTGCATCCGTTGGCAAGTAAACCTTTAAAACTTGTTTGAAAAACTATGAAAATTCCAAGAAAGACTTTTTATTGCTAAAAATTCTTGTTATTTATTGAATCCGAAAGAAAAATAAAATAAAATGAAAGGAAAAAGAAAAATCAACCATTCATTGCTTTCACTAGTGGAGGCTGTAATTCCTAAGTTCTCTGTGAGAGGTCGGGGTCCGATATCACTAAATTATTGATATTATGATAATTTACTTAATTTCATATTCAAACCAAAATAATAATTAGCCGAATCCTTTCTCTTGCTCTTTTGCATGATTCAGTTTCGACTTTGGAGTTATCCCTAAATTGTTTGTTAACGAATCTGTCTATTTTTTAGCCTATAGGTTTTGCATGGCGTCTTGTTCATTTTTTATTATTTATTGTATATGTTTTTTGTATAGTGTAATAAGGGTCATTTATTTCATATCGGATCCGGATGGAAAAGTGATTGGGTATAAATGGATAGATATATAGCACTACTTAATAGCTTGAGTTTTTGGGTAAATGGACAAGCGTCCACCATTACATATTGTCAGGACATTTTTTTTTTTCTTCTTCTTTTTGTAGGACTCAGAAAATCCAGTAAATCAAAAAATTAGACCGGACCGAACTGAACTGGGCGGTTTGAGCTAGTTGTATAGAAGTTTGGTCCTGTCCTGGGCCCAAAATTATGAAACCGTAATTTTTCAGTTCGGACTTGGTTTAGGGTCCGAGACCGGCCTGACCCTGACTGTATTATGTGCTATAAAATATATTATATAACTTATATTTTTTTTATATATATATATATATATATATATGTATGTATGTATGTATGTATGTATATCACTATATCATACCCTAAACCTAAATCAAGTAAAGTTTTCACGCCTCACATACCACAAACCCTTCTCTTGAATAGTTTACTGAATTATGTCTGGATTGTTGTTGACATGTTATAATTTTTTACTATTGGTTAACTTAATCTAGTGAATTTATTGAATCTATTTGTTATTTTACAAGTTAAGCAATACTATCGGTCTCTATATACAGGAAAAATAAGTAATTTTGTTTTTAAAAAATAAAATAGAAAAAAAATCAACTGAAATGAAAAAGCGAACCGAACCAAACCAAAACTGGTTTTTCGCGATTTGGTTTGGTTTGGTTCCATGGTCATTATGGTTTGGTCTGGTTTCAAAAACAGTGGAACCGTTATAAATGGTTTAATCCGAAAAAAACTCTTAATCTGATCCAAACTGGACCGTGTGCACCCCTAATTCACAATCCCTTCTTTTTCCTATTGCAGTTATTACATAATACCATAATTAATGAAATTCTATATTTGTTTTTTGTATTTTTTTTATGACAAATAAAATAATTTATGAAATTCTTGGAAAGCTATGATAAAACAGAAAAACTAGTATAAAAAATAAAATAAATTGCTACAAAGCTTAAAAGTATTAAAGAAATAGTAAAACAAATACTCCGTAACCTATTTCTCTAACCAAGTGTTAATTGAGTAGGACCCATATTTAATTACAGTACACATTAACTTTTATTTTGCCCGTTAAATGGTTCTGCTCCAGAGGGCCATAAGTGCACATAGTGTCAAGAAGTCACAACACCAAGCATCCAAGGGCAAAGCCAAAACTAAAAATTTGGAAGGGTCAAATTAGTAATATAAAATTAAAAATTAAGAGCACGTTTAGAAATTAATATAAATTGAGTACTAATAAATTTTCGCAATGGTTACAATAGTAATATCTCTTTCAAACCACCGTTAATAACTAATATTAACCATAAGAATGTACCATAAATAAGATTTTTTTAAAAAAATTGGGAGTCCAAATGTAATTTCTCAATGCAAAATTACTATTAACAATCATAAATACATACAAAGGTTTGACAAAATTTGAGTGGTGGGGGTATGGAGAAGAATTTAATTGTGCCGGTTGTATTAGTGACATGATATTACTAACTGATTAGATATGGACACGTAGTGATGACTTATTAAAATAAAACACACTTTTATTTATGTGACAAAATGAGTCCGAGAATGAATTACATCCCCTCACCTGTCCTTCCCCTGTTAGGTGATAAAACAACATCTAATCCAATTACATCCAATGAGTCCAAGAATGAATGGTACATGAGTCGAACATAACTAGTCATTTGCATCGATGAAGTTTTTAGCAGTAAAATGGAGCATTTGCCTAGGGTTGGTCACAATATGAAAACCTAGCCATTTTACCCGGCCACTAGTTTTAGCTCCGGGACCCTGTTGTGATATTTAACTTAGCTCAAATGATCCAATCTGGTATTCCACGGTAACCAACCAGCTCGATTTACTATATCTCCTAAGAAAGACTCCATCACTACCACCCTAGAATACTCTCGCCATGGCCGTCCAAGAAATGCTCTGAAAGAAGAATTCAACCGTCCAAAATCCGTGGCCTTCGTAATGGTGCAATGCTGAAACACTTTTCCGGTGTCACTATTTGCTATACCCCTTGACACAGCTGTAACAATAATGGGCATTCCTTCATTCTCTAGATTTCTCCCATATATGTTACAATTCTGGAACATGATGGCTGCGTCACCAAAGATCAAGTCTATGGTTCCAAAGATGTTGCATTTGTAGAAAAATTTGCTGCCGAAAATCATAAACAAAGTGTCCTGATATCCTTTGAGACTACACCTATAGAATGCATGATTTAAGCCTCCACTTCTCACAGCAACTGCCTGTCCGGCATTGACTCCAGCGGAATTCACAAAGCTGATGTCTATATCTGCATGTACACAATATACACAAGTCATTGTGTCAGATGAGCTGAAACTAGGAAAAGAAAAAATATCAACCTTGGTACACAATATACACTCGTCCTTTAAACATAACACTCCATGATATATATTTTAAAGGCACATACATACAATTAATAGTGTGTTTCGTTTTAAAATTATTAAATTGTTCTTTTTGGTTTAAATATACTAATTACTCAGTTGAGAGATTTTTGTAAAAATAATAATTATGAAAATATAACATTTATTTTATTTTTACTTTTTTTCTAGTTAGTACTCACACACACTGCCTGCACTGATGTTCGAACCCATGACCTCCCTTTGGAAAGTATGAGTCATGTACCGCTAGGCCACAGGCCTATTGGTTTTACTTTAATTTTTTTAATGTAAGAGCTAATTTATTACATTTCAAAAAGGAAAAACTAATCCGATAATTAATATAGAAGGTAAGGCTATATTATTATTATACTCCCTTCATTCCATATTAATAATTTATTATCTTATTTTTTTGTAGTCCCATAATAGTTGTCACATTTCAAAAATCAATACACTACTTGTTTTATTACATCCCTAATTTTACCCTAAAAGATTAAAATAATTAAAATCTCAAAATAAGTGGACTCATTAAAGGCCTGTTTACTAACACTTTTACTTTCTTACTTTTACTTTCTTCAAAAGTAAAATCATACTTTTACTTTTTAGAGATGAAATAGAAAGTAAAATCGTGTTTAATAAGAAAATTTTATTTTTAATATTTTGAAAGTAAAAATCAAAAAGGAAGTTTAGTAATTTTAATTTTGCTTCTTTTATCTTTCTTTCTCTATATATATATTTTTTCTTTCTCTAACTGGGTCTCTCAATGTCGGATGAACGTGGTCATATCCGGCGAGCCATTAGTCAATCCATCGTCTAAGCCCGTTCCTAGAGCTATACCCCTTGCATAGCACGCACCGTAAAGCAGACCAATAGAGTGAATCACACGAGCTGCAGGTATGGGGGTCAACTTCCTTTTTTGACAGGCGGAGTGATGTTGAAGTTGAATGAATGTCTTGTAGAGTTGTTCGCTTCCTTAGCGTATTTCCATTACAGAAAGGGAGTGGAATCAGATTGTGCCTAATGAATTTCCATTTTTGAACCTGATGAGGGCAGGTGAGAACTCGCTTTCACGATCTCTATTCTTGGGAAGAAAGGGAGTGGAATCAGATTGTGCCTTTCGAGAATGAATTTCCATTTGAATCTTTCTATTTCTGGTATTTTTGGACCTGGAAGGTTTAATCTTTAGGGATCAAAATCAAAAGCTGACTTTTCATATCTTTTCTTTTTCAATGATTTTTGACTTTTGAAAGCAGAGTAGAAGATGGTCACCGCCGTTTATGTCTTCTCTCACCTCTCATCGGATGCGACTTGAACTCCATTGGTGGCGGCAGCATTTGAGACCACCAGGGTCTCCGATGTAGAGAATTCCGTTGATTTTTACTTCTTTAAGGAGGAATTTCATATTGACCTTGCTCTTTCAAAACGATCAAGGGTTTTAGTTTTCGACAGTGTTTGGTAGTGTTTGTAGAAAGAGAGAGAGAGAGGAGAGAGAATCAATGATGGTGGTGGTTGTCGGCAATGGCGGTGGTGACGGTGTTCGTCGACGGCAAGGAGGTGGCAGTGGCAATGACCATGGTGGAGAGGAGGTGATACAGATGATTAGTTAGGATATATATATATATATATATATATATATATATATATATATATATATATATATATATTATATCGATGCTACAGTAGAGGAAGTGATTTCTACAAACAGTGTCGAAAATATAGAAAGTGAGGAATTCTCACTTTCTCCTCTCTTCACAAAATCAGGAATTACTTTCTTAAAACAAAAAAGTGAAAGTATTTTATTAAACACAATTTTTACTTTTGATTCTCAATTTTAGGAATTGACAGCAGAAATCAGGAATCATTTCTGTTAGTAAACAGGCCCTAAATGTCTCTTGAAAGTCATTCAATTTTGAACCGATTCAAAACAAAACTTTTAAAAGGAAAGGGTAAATTGGGATATGTATCTTTTGTAAATCTAATAAAGAATAATAAAATTTGTTTTCTTAAAAAGTGTGAAGTGTAGAATTGGACCATATCTTTTATTATTATAACTTTTTAAGAAAATATATAATTAATATAAAAATGACAATTAATATGGAAAGGCGGGGCTATAAATACATGTATGATTATCAAAATATTACGTACTCATCTTCCCTTCTCGACCTTGGTAGAAAAGAAGAGAAGTCGAAATGGCGAGTCATGAGAGCTGTATCTTTCCTGATGGCTTCTTTTTTTTTTTTTTTTTAGTCAGTCCTTTGTCTCAGCTGACATGTCTCTAATAAGAGCCGTTTGCAAAACCACCCCGTATTTCGATGTTTGCGTTTCATTTTTATCATCAGACCCTCGAAGCATCTCTGCCAGTAACAAAACCAGCCTAGCGAGGATTGCCATGCAAATCACAGCAGCAAAGTGCCATGACATTTCATTATACGCCAGCCAATTAATTGCTTTGTACCACAACTGACCCTGGTTACAAGCAAGACCTTGAGTACTGTAGAGATAGTTATAACCAAGTTGAGTTTGGCATAACCCATGACGGTCTGCCAAAATTTGATCACTGGAGATATGGCGATGCGGGGAAAGACACTGAAGATGCTTCTATTGCTTCTGAAACCTGTGACGAAAATAGCATAAAAGCCTTGAACCAGATGAATACTCTCATCGGTAACTTCGCTATTGATGCAATGATGATTGCAAAGAGCTTGTCCAAGTCATGATCATCAAATCATATACTATTATTATTGTTATGCCGAATTTATTAATAAACATGCTTTATTGACAAAATACTGTGTTTGCTTTTACTCCTAAAATTTTGTCAACAATATATTTTCAAAGAAAATGATATAAAAAAATGTTTCTGCTAGTCTGCACAATAGACTTGATGTGCCAAAAATTCTATCTATTAAGGTAATTATAAAAACTGTCTTACTCATTTTCGAATCACACCTTCATTATTCATATTTGCTAGTTATGTGTATGGTGCATGTGGTTCCATCCATTGGCAAGTCAAACTTTAAAAATTGTTTGAAAAGCATGGAAATTCCGAGAAGAAAGACTTTATTATTGACTAAAAATTCTTGTTATTTATTGAAATCACACCAAAAAAAAATAAATAAAAATAAAATAAAAGAAAAAAGAAAAATCAACCATTTGTTGTAGCATTACTCAATTTCATATTCAAGCCAAAATAATAATTAACCCAATCCTTTCTCTTGCTCTCTTGCATGCTTCAAGTTTGGACTTTGAAGTTATCCATAAATTGTTTGTTAACGGTTTTGTCTGTTTTCTAGCCTATGGGTTGAACGGTCTTTTTTTCATTTTTTTTTTATTTTTTTTTTATCCGTATTTGCTTGTATAGTTGTATAATCTCTTTTTTTTTTTTTTTTTTATAGTTATTTTTAGGGAAGCCACTCCCTTGTTTTTCCTATTGCATTATCCCTTTTTATATAATACCATAACTAATGAAATTTTTTACCTTTTTTTGTATTTTTTTTATGACAAATAAAATAATTTATACACCACTTCAAATTTGGCCAAATATCACATTAAAACACTTTTCGAAAACAACTATCACTCACACCCCAAATTATTTTTCCGTCTCTAACATCCTTAAAAAGATTTGAATATTTATACCCTCATTTCTTTATTATATATTAATCCTCATATATTAAAAACTTGAAAGGTCTAAATTGACCTTCTCACTCCCTCACACACACTGAACTTTACCCATGAAAAACAAATGATAACTAATTTGCAGTATCTACCCCTGCCTTGGTTCCACCAAGTATAATATATATAGTATTTATTTTTGTAATATTACATATATATGTGAGAAAATCTATATAATGCCCCCCTAAAATTTTTATTTTCTAAATTTTTCTCTTGATTATTTTTTACTTTTTTTTTTTTTTCCCCCTCTTTTGCTCTTTAAAGTCATTTAATTTCCTTAAGGAAAAAGTTAGAATTTTCATTTTAAAATCAAATTATAATTCTTTCCTTTCAAAGTTTTCTCATTTTCGCTTTGAAATTTCCAATAAAAAAAAAAAAAAAGTTTTCTCATTTTCCTTTCAAATTTCTTTCATTTTATTTGAATATTATTTTACATTAATTTATTTTCTTATTTATAATCTTTCATTGATTTTTTTTTTTTTTTTTTTACATTGTGCCCCTGAATTTATTTTTTGGCTCCACCATTGTATAATATATATATATAGCATACAGTATACACACATGTATATCCATAGAAATGAAAACGGCTAATAAGCTTTCCCGCAGAGTTGGAGCTGGAGGAGGCACAGGTACACGCAGAGGCACCGACAAAGGCAACAACAACACATCCCGCAGCGGACGACGCACCAGTCGATCCAGCTACTGAGCATTTAGACATCAACTTAGAGCACCCTACAAATGATGCAGAGCAGGACTCTCCAGCCAAGTCGCCCATTCATGAGCAAGAGCAGACTCAGGAGCTTTCTTCTGATTCATCTATGCCTGAGACTCTAGATATGACCCCCGGCTTTGGAGTACATCTGTAGACGCTCGGGGATGCTGTTGTTACCATCCGAGCTGACCTCACAGCCCACAAAGCAAAGAAATGTTTCATTAAAGGACTCAAGAGGGGAGCGCTCCCAAGGAGGAATAGATAAGGTCAAGAGGGCCAATTATCCTCTCAAGCTATCTACAAAATCAACAAATTCCTCCGAAGATTTACAAATTCGTCGATTAATCCAAAAGAAAAAAGAACACAATATGGTGTATTTGAGAGACAAAGTAGGAGTTTCCTCCACATCAAAAGATCTTGTATTTCTTTCATGCCACAAACCTCACCATAAACAAAGGGGTGTGGCCCTTCAAGCATCTCGAACTCGGCTCCCCACCATACAACCTCTCCAAGCTTTGTTCATATCCACCCGAAAGCACCCAATGAACTCCCAAAATCGCCAATAACACATTCCAGACATCCTTGGCCACTGGATAGTGCAAAAGGAGGTGGTTCACCGACTCCTCATCCTTCTTGCACACACAACAGCAGTTTACAATGATCTGCCTGCTTCTCAGATTATCAATTGTCAAATGATTTCAAAATTTTAATTCACCAAAGTTTTAGGCTTTCTCTCAACTTTTAGTATTGCATCCAAGATGTGTGAAAAACCAATGAAATAATGTATGCCAGTTCTTTTATTCCTTATTTACCTAGAAAACTTTTCATTTATTCTGAGAAAACCTTAACTATGCTTTTATAGAGCCTTCTAAAACAAATTAGTAGGTGTAAATTCTTTTTATGTAAACTTTTCTACAAGATCAAAGTGATTGTAGTAACTTTATCTTGATTACTTAACTGGCACGAAACTCTTATAACATCTTCCATGATGATATCTCAACGATCCTCAAAAACTGGTGAAAATTCAAGAGTATGAGCTTAGTCTTGAAATTTTATCTATAGAGTAGATGTCTTTCTTAATCTCTTCTTCGGCAATACACCTCTATACGGCAGATGCATTTCTTGATCTCTTCCATGGCAAATGTCTCTAAACGGCATCAAATTTCTCTGGATGATATGTTTCTACTAAATTCAACTGATCCAGGCCTACCGGTAAAGATGACAAAAATTCTATCCTCTTGTCAGTACAACGTAGATTATATTTGTCAACAGAGCAGAATCATTTATACTCAGCCTTATTAATTCATCTTGGATTCATTAAGATAATGACCTTTGATGTCAGTGGGGATACCAGGAATCGGTTCTTAAAATAGACAGTTTGTGATGGACTGATGCTGTTATGTAGCCTTTGTTGATAAGGAGATAGTTGAATGATACAAAAAGTAGTCCCTCATCCTAACTATCTGGGGGTAATTAACAAGGTTTAATATTGTTTTGGATTAGGGGAAGCTTTGCAAGTTTTTATGTTCATCACACTGATGAAAGATGCAGCACAGAGAATTATGTGTTTGAAGATGTTATATCAATGTCATTTGTATTATGAGAGCAGTGGCTTGAAACCTAACGACAGTGAAAATTCAAAATGTTTTTATTTATGGGTTAATTACAATGACACCCCCTGAGATTTGTCATAATGACAGCCATATATAAGTTAACCTCTTTTTGAACAATAAGACCCCCTCAAGTTTAATAAAGTTAACAAAGACACCCCAGACAAGCTAAAATGACCTTAATGCCCTTTCACTTGTGAATTAACCCATTTGAATTATAAAATTACCTTTTTAACCTTTCTAATCATTTCAATTCACCAATTTAACCCTTAAACCAATCTACGGTCCCAGACAATCCTAGCCACACATCTAAGAAAATATGTCTTCAGCATTACACATCTTC